TACGCAGACCTGGTTTCAACAGGACGGAGCAACTGCCCACACCTCCAACACTTCTATGCCCGTCGTCTGTCAACTTTTTCCCAGCAAAGTAATTTCTCGAAGAGGAGACATTTCCTGGCCACCACGTAGTCCAGATTTGACCCCAGTGGACTTCTTTTTATGGGGCTACCTCAAGAGTAAAGTGTACGATACCACTCCGCGATCAGTTGATGTCCTGAAAGAAAATATCCGAAGAGAAATGGCAAGCATTACAGTGTTGACTTGCCGCGCAGTCATCGACAATTTTAGACGTCGTTTCATAATGTAACTAGTTTGGTTTTATTCCTTTTTTTCCAGCTCCAAGGACTTATGGGCCACCCTGTATAACAACAGACACATACTAAACAGATCACTAAAAAAAATTATGTAATTCTTTCCAATTTCAATTATTGCGATTTTGTCTATGGATTTTGCTTAGATCAGGTGAGTAGAGGTCGGATTCAGAAGGTGCAAAATGCGTGCCTCAGGTTTATCTATGGTCTGCGTAGGTTTGATCATATATCTCATTTGTATAAAGAAATTAAATGGCTTAAAATGAATGAGCGTCGCACTCTCCATTTTTCTAGTTTTTTATTAAAAATTATAAACACTACAGGTTCACCTGATTCTATACGAAAACGCTTAATTTTCCCACATCCTGTTCACGACATAAATGTAAGATATTTAAAAAAAAATAACTATGCCGCTTCATAGTAGTGCATTGTTTCAACGATCATTCTCATACAATGCTGTTAAACAATTTAATTCAATTCCCAACCAGTTCCTTAATCTTTCTCCTTTAAGTTTCAAAATACAATATAAGAAATATTTGCTAAATAGAAATCTGAACAAACTCTTTTAGGATAGAGATTGAAGTTTATAATATAGGTACATAAGTAGAAAAAATATGTCAAGCAAATTTTATAGTGACCAGTATTAATTAATATCTTTTTGAAATTTTAATATACTTTCAGTCCGTTTAGTGGTAACACGTGATTATTATTATGATTATTCTCTATTGTTGTTTAAGACTTATTACTATTATTATTTTTTTGTTGTCTTATTTTGGTTCAGTAGCTAGTAAGCTAGACTTGCACCAATATTAGGCAATGTATTCTGTATTTTTTTTTTCTAAATTACCTTTGTAAAAAGATTATTTGTTTTATTCACTAAAGTCATGTATTATTATTATTATTCTTATCAAAAAGCAAGATGCCGGTACTCATGTTGAGGGTGAACCCTCTGGTTACATGTTCCACCAGCCTGACTGGCAGACCGAAGACCGAATTGAACGTAAATAATCACATGGCCATTTGAAAATTCTCAAGGTGGCGATAATACACCTTTTCGGGGAGCCTAGAAGGAGATGACAGCAGACTAATGGGACGGTAATCGTGAGGAAATATCGAACCCACCTTCTTTGGAATCATGACGACCTCAGCAGTCAAGTGCTGGGTTCTAAGTATAGCATTGATTATTGTCATCAAATATGTCAGAGCTTTCTGCGGGCGCAGCTTCAGCGCCTTGTTGGTCTCATTTACATAGTCTTCATGTACTAAATATTCAAAATTAATGACAGAACTGTCTCAAATTTACTTATGTGTGTCCCGTGCCAAAGTGCCAAGTGTCCAAGTGCCCGTTGATCCTCAACACAGACTATGAGAATAAGGAGGAAAACGAATCCTTGACTGGCTCCTTATACATAGTCTGAATTAGTTGCTAGGATCTCAGTCTATAAATTCACGTACGCTCATATCTTAATTGCTCCGACATGAGCCAAGCAAACTTAGCTAATACATCCCGATCGATACGGTGTCTTAGCCGTGGGCCAAGTCTAGATTATAACCAGCTTCTCCGAGTTTTTAATGAACCCATCGGTGTTCGACGTTTTCAATAACGGAGTTAACCAGCATCTCCAGACACTAGCACGGGGCGCTTCAGGATACATAATTGAAAAACTTGTACTGCGATCTTACTTACACTTGTTTATCGGTTCTCGTTGAAATGAGTTTTTTTTTACTTTTGCGATATTGGACCAGAAAGTTCTGAACGTCCACTAGAAATTACGTGGACGTTCTAGTGTAGTTTAGTGATGTAACGAATACTCGCATTCGCAAGTTTTTTGATGTTCGAATTCATACTCGCGTTAGTGAAATTCATGCGAATATCTTGCGACTATGAATATCAGAAAACGAAAATTTTGGATAGAATAGGAAATATCTGTATACTTGTTTTGCTAGGAAATGGTATTTTAACAGAAAATCAAAAACTTTATTTTTCGGACAGATGTTTTCCTTGATGTTGCCACCAATCGAATATTTCTCATCAAAAAAATTTCTTTTGGTTTGTTAGTGAAGTGAGACACTCCAAAGGGCGATGAGGCTGTCAAATCAGTGAACGTCTGGCTCAATTCAGGATTGAAAACAGCTGAGCTAATCTTGTTCTGAATGTAACCTAAAAAATGATTTTTTGGCGCTACCCGCAGATTGTTGACATGTAGCGAAGCAAAGCAAAAAAATCTAAGTCGGTGGATTTTACACGTAAACCACATAAACTTAACGTCAACCGTAACTTTTATTACGATTACATTTTGTTCTCATATTGTCAAAAGTATTTTCCTTACTGGTGCCAGATACAAAAAGCTTCCTTGGTGCAGCCCGCAATCGACCAGACTAAAATTGCACACGCCGGTGTTACGTTCATAAGCTGAGGATATCATCAAGACCCTGCTTCAGCACTGCGAAACAACGAACTTAGGTATATCGATCCATCTAATTGACGAAACGTGACCGTTGGCATCACGACCTTTTGGACGATCTCCCATCTAATCAGTGATTATCCATTTGCCCCTAAGGGCGATATAAGTTACGTGCTCCTGATGTGGGGAAGGAAGAGAGCCGGTTTGTACCTTCATCTAAGCAGATGGAAGATGCAAAGATATTATTCAGGGAAGATCTGTAAATGAAAAGTCGGTATTGGACACGCGCAGTTACAATTCTTACCTGTCAGGCCTACTGGCCGAGAAGTAGTGTAATGGGATATGATGTTTTTTAGATGTAAGACGACATGCACATCACGAAAAACCATAGCACTTATTTTTGCCTGCCTCTCGATCTGACTGTCCGTTCATCATCTAAACTCCTATAGGGTAAAGTCAGATAAAGCGTACCGCCGGGTAAATCGTAAAATCACCATTTTTGAAATAATGATCTACTACCCGTGACACCTCTTGTCAAAATTTAGAAGCTTTTATGATTATATTTGCCCCACCCAAATTATTCTTTGCAGTTCACTTCACACTGTACGTCAGTTTGAGGTTAAATTAAAAGCAGTGTTGTTCATTATATTTTTTGCTCCTATTCATAAGCTTTTTTTTACATTTGGTAAGTAGATATTTTTAAGATATATTTTATGTATTTTATGGACATGTAGTTAGTTGTTGCTGTAATAATTAATTGAAAAAGGGTTTATTTAGGTTGAAATTTAATTGATAAACATAAATTCGTGCTTGTTCTGTATATCGTACCACCCATGGCATTGTAAATCGTACCGGTACGATTTACCCAACTGAGGCTCTTTGCTTCGATTTTGAACAAAGTTTTTATTACAGGTTTTTAGAAAGAAAATAGCAAAACTGGAATGCTGTCGATGGACCTCAGAAGATATGGACCATGCGATTAATGCATACAAACAAAGCCAGTGTGGTTTTAATGAGTGCTGCAGACGTTATAACATTCCAAAGCTGACTTTTAGAAGGCCCTTGCGCTCTTTAAATGAAAAGGCAAATGATAATGTTCAGTCGTTGGGTCGACACACAACTTTTAGCCCTGAAATTGAAATGGAATTGGCAAAACTTATTTTAAATCTGAAAGAAAGATTTTTTGGTGTAACAATTCGGGATGTTCGACGATTGGCTTATGAATAGCTGTTCGGAATGATATTCCACACCGTTTCAATATCAATAAGGAAATGGAGGGAAAATGATGGTATTATTATTTTATGGACCGACATCCTGAACTGTCACTTAGACAACCAGAGAAAATCTCCATATCCAGAGCAACTGGGTTCAACCAAAAAAAACGTCCATGAGTTTTTCGATATTTTAGAAAAATGTTTTGATGAAAACGGTTTAACGGCTCAACAAATTTATAATGTTGATGAAACTGGATTTTCATCAGTTCAGAAGCGGAATCAAAAGATAATTGCACGTAGAGGAAAGCACCAAGTTAGAGGTAGGTGTAGCAAGTGGTGAAAGGGGCGTAAATACCACAGTTGTCGTTTGTGCCAGTGCTGCCGTTCAAACTATACCGTACATGATAATTTTTAAGAGAAAACGTATGGCTCCAAAGCTTACCATAGGTGCAATACCTGGCACTATTGTTACAATTTCAGATACAGGATATATTAATAGTGAACTTTTTGTTAAATGGTTACAGCACTTCATTGAGTACGTAAAACCAAGTACCGAAAATAAAGTTTTAACATACTTTTACTAGATGGCCACCCAACGCACTCTACAAATCTAGAGGCACTTATTTTAGCAAAAAGTCATGGAATCGTACTGCAACGTCCTGGTCATACTACAAATCCGTTGTAGCCGTTAGACGAGAGCTTTTTTAAGCCTATCGAATCCTATTTTTCTCAAGGTCTAGAAACATTTATAAGAAGCAATCCTGGTAACACTGTTTCTCAATACAACATGACTGGATTGCTTTCTGATGCCTATGCAAAAACAGCATCAATAAGCACTATCATGAATGGTTTCAAAAGAACTGGATTATGGCCGGTTGACCGCACTGTATTTTCTGAGACAGATTTTATCGCTGCTAATGCCGTGCTTGAAAATGATTCAGAAAAACCAAGTGAGCCTAAAGACGATGCTACTGAGCCACCAGTTTACAGTGATAGTACTGAACAAAACAAACATTGCAACAGAACGGGTCTCAATACCTCTATTGAAGAAATTTACCCTCTACCCGTGAATAAAGGTTGCCTCGCTCTTTCTTTTTTTATTTTTTTTTCGTTAAAATCACTTTTTAATTATAAGCTAAAGTTATTTCTCTCAATTGAGGCAATGAATGATTAAAAAAAAACTAGGGGGTTACTGAGGCTAAAGCCGTGGTTTAGCGTTGGCAAATTAGGCCCTATGCTCAGGTACATCGGAGAGTAGGGTGGTATTTCTTTAGGGGCGCCACCAGCTTTTATCCGCCAAACCTGGAAGACGCCTTGGTGTTGAAAGGCACTCTTTAGCCCAAAACCCCAAGAAAAAAAAAACAAAAATACATACGAACAATAGATTTTCTGTGTGGGTAAATAATTGCTAAAATTAACATCAATACATTTTATTACATCTACTAACGGCTAACAACAAAAATTTAAGCCGGCCAAACTAGGAGATCTCCCTTAATGCGAAAGCTTATTGACTAACTAACTTAAAATGGGCGAGGAAGGCTTCAAAACCGATGACGTAAGAATCCCTATGGTGGAAAAAGGGTCTCTGTTCGGAAAGAGGTCCCTGTGTTCTAACACGTGTCAATGGATCTCCAGTAGCGAAGATTCCCCCAAAATAAAAAAAACCCTAGATGATGTCGGTAGGGTTTTTGACGTGGTTCAGTCTGGCAAAAAGTGCGGCTGAAGACAATAAGATCCTACAAATTGTAGAATTTCTCGGATCCAAGGGTAGACAAAAAAAAGATGCTACGCACCCACAACAGGAATGACCCAGGAAATTATCTATGAAATTGTCTTCCTCAATCCAACGAAGATGCCCCAGGCAAAAAATGAGGAAAATTTCAGGTCTTCTCGCACTAGCGGAACAGAACCAGATGGCCCTCAGATAGTGGAAGGAAGTCTCCTCCCAAAATTTAATTTCTTCGACTTGACATTTCCAAATATAGTTGTAGGTACGCCTGACCATTAAGAGCCAAACGTTGTCGGCTAATCCCAAAATGAGAAGGTTCCTAATATGAATTCAAGGAAATATCGTGAATAAATGTGGCAACACTGTCATATCTGCATATAAATTTGATTGACTAATAAACATAAGGAAATTCTGAAATGAAATTGGCAACTATGCGGAACAAGCGAGGTGTGCAAGTAGTTCGGTACGCAGAATAGTACCTCGACATCAGCGACATCAGCCTTTGACATTGGAAGATTTCAGAAAACAATAATAAATTCATCTGAATATAAAAGAAATACATAGTTCAATAGGTGAGTAATAATATTTACCCAACACAAATAGTTTTTAATTCAGAAGGTGATATCAATTTATAGATGTACATTTATTTATTTATTTATTTTTAGCTCCAGAGTGACAAACCGGATTGTTGTTGGGATGTAAACAAATCCCCGAGGCGAAAATTTCGAGATTGAATTGATTTCTTGACGGTGGAAGATCTAGCATGGGATGGAAGCAACTGAGTTATTTATGAAAATATGTGGAGATGAATACCAAAATTATTACTCATGGTGAACCAGGGAAATCACTAGGCAACACAAGAAGGAATTGTCCATATCAGGGTGAGTGAATTCTTCAATTAATTACCTGAATGCATGGAAAATTGACTACACATTTATAAGCTTAGTGGTAGAAACTGTAAAGATGATCAAAATGGAGTGCGATTGCTGTCCGTTAAATTTAATAATTGAAATTTTTGGATTATAAAATAGATCAGGATGGATTATGTTTAATTGATTGAGAAATATTTGGTTTCAGTTCCCAAATTGTTCAGTGACATGGAAGATGCTGACTACTATACAGGGTTATCCAAATTAAGTGTCCACCATTAGTAACTTTGTTATTAGTGAAAATACAAAGTTGTTTGAATTAGCAAACTAGTAGCATTTTTAACGCTGGTAAAAATGAGAAATAAAAAAAAAAAATTGAGAGTCGTTATTTTGATTTTTTTCAGTAAAATAACATTTTTTTAAATGGAAACCCCTCTATATTATATTTTTTTCTGTTAAAGCATCAAATTTTAAACAAAAAAGCTTATAATAACTTTTCTCCTAGGTTACAAATTGTTGAAGTTATGGCCTCCAATCTGAAACAATTAAATTGTATCGACAAACTTTATTTTCAACATCAACTTATAATCTTACAAAATACAATAACAATTTTTTTTAAAGAAGATGCTCGAAAACACCACCTTGTTCTTCGATACATTTTTGGGCACGTTTTTCAACTGCTCGAACTGTCTTAAGTATGGTCCTACCATCTATCTGGGTTATCTTTTCCCTAACTGCAGTCTTTAACGCGTCAAGGTTATCGTACCTTCGCTTGTAAATTTGGTTCTTTAAGTAACCCCACAAGAAGTAATCAAGTGGGTTTAGATCTGGTGATCTCGGAGGCCACTGTATTGGGCCATTTGTTCCTATCCACTGATCATTAAAAGTAGTACTTAGAAAATGATAAGTACCTCTGGAGTTGTGGGCAGGTGCGCCATCTTGCTGAAAATGCAGATGATGTCTACTTATAAGATCCAATTCGTCTAAGAAATTAGTCAGAATTTCTGACATAAATTCCACATATCTTTCACCAGTTAGGGTTCCCTCATAAAAGAACGGGCCAACAATTTTTGAACCAATTATACCGCACCAAACGTTGAAACTGAAACGGACTTGTGGGCCTCTTGGATGTACTAACAAAAGATTTTCTCTTGACCAATAATGGTGGTTTTTTCTATTAAACATTCCAGAATTTGAAAAATTTGATTCATCTGTCCATAAAAGGTAACGAAAGTTATTTACATTTTGGCGACAGAAGCTAAGATACCAATGGCAAAAAACAAGTCTTCTCTCTGGATCCCCTGCCAAAAGCGTTTGAACTGGTCGGTACTTATACGGAATAAATTTGTATTTTTTTAAAATCCTTTGAACAGTACCATAACTGAAATTAGAGTCCTTGAGAATATCTGCTATTGAATTCTCACGATAAGCTTCAAAATATCCAATAACTGCAATTTCCGTGGCCTCGCTTATTATGAATTCTTTTTGTGCCCTTGTTTTAGCAAAAACATTTTCGTTGCCCCTAAATTTTCGATAAAGTCTCAGAAAATATCGTTCATACGGTTGAATGCGAGCGGGATATAATTCACTGCTCTCAAGGAGGATTTTCTGCACACTAAATAGCATTCTAACATATCACACTTTTCTTCATGGGAGAACATTTTTCTTTAAATTAATGACACAATAAAGCTTATAAACAAGTATTTACACTAATGTTTGACATTATTTGATTTTATCATTGTTTTCCAAAGCCTTCTAGTTGCGAGTATGTCCAGTTTAACAATTTGTCGCTTATCTTAATGCTGTCAAATCGCGAACGCCATGTTGTTTTCATAGCCGTCTTAATATTATAATACTGCAAATAATTAAAAATATTTATCGTTATTTTGACTTTATTTTTGACTTTAGCGGAAAAGTCATTATAAACTTTTTTGTTTAAAATTTGATGCTTTAACAGAAAAAAATATAATATACAGGGGTTTCCATTTAAAAAAATGTTATTTTACTGAAAAAAATCAAAATAACGACTCTCAATTGTTTTTTTTTATTTCTCATTTTTACCAGCGTTAAAAATGCTACTAGTTTGCTAATTTAAACAACTTTGTATTTTTACTAATAACAAAGTTACCAATGGTGGACACTTAATTTGGATAACCCTGTATACAGGCAGCCAAATGACTACAAAAGAAAAACAACGGATACAAATAAAAAATTATAGTTATTCCATTGTATTCATGTGTTATGTTTGCTATTTCAAATAAACATGATAATAGGTAAATGTCTGCGTGTTATTTATTTTGGTTATGAATTACGTGAGAAAAATATAGCTTAATACACCGTTAAAAACAAGCCCTATCTTGGGAAATGGCCAATGGGCCGGTCTAGTCATTTTTGTCAATAAAATTGATTTAATAATATGCTATGAATAAAAATAATATGCTACGGAGATTATTAGATTAGATTATCGGCTTTTGTTTCTTCCTTCTCAAGTTCTTGCTGCATTACTTCAAATTAAACCTGTGCGACAACAACAACAACAGCAAAAAATATATGATTCATCGGCAATAAAAGGTAACTGTTACAAGGTTACGCTAAAAGAGGAAAATTTTCTCAACCAGCCGTCATTCTGAGCATCACGCCCTATAAGGATGAATTCGAACAAACGTAACCAAAGGCAAAAATCAACCAAAAAAGTAAAAAAAAATCTTAAGCTTTCTTCTACTTCTCTTTTTGAAGCACGTGACGGTAAGTCTTTCACTTCATAATCTGCCGAGGTAAAGGCTCAAATTGAATATGATCCTACTGATTGGTGGTACTGCTTTATATGTGAAGAGAGCATTATTGAAGATCTGGTGAGATGTATTAAATGTGAAAAATGGACTCACACATCATGTGCAGGAATCAAAAAACAAATAAAAAATATGTGTGTGAGAACTGTAAATAACAAATTAGTGGTACGATTTAAAAACCGATGGTACGATTAAACCAACCTGTTCCTTAATCGTACCACTTGCAAGCCTTTCTATTTTTGTATTTTTTTTTGCTTAAGATGTTGTTTGATTCAGTTGAACGTTTGATGCATAGAAAGCTAAATGTTTATTTGTGCCTATGTAGTACTATTATCCATAAGGAGTTTAATTTTTGAGTATAGTGGTCAAAATTTTAAAAACCAGTACGATTTAACCTACTTTACCCTAACTTGAGAAGTGCTGCTCGGATTTTGATGGAACCTTCACACACCATTATTTACTACCAAAGACGAAGCTTTGTAGTTTTTGAAAATTGAAACTTGCCAAAATTTTGGTCGTTGACGATTAAGAAGAGGGTCATTTTCGGAAAAAAGGTTGAAGGGTTTAAAAATTGGAGGTTAAGGGTTGCAGAGCGTGCAGGTGGTCAATTTCTTGACATTGGTGTATTTATACACCACCAACCCCCTTACGTTTACGAGTACCCTTAGAACTTATCTGCAACAGTCGTATGACAATTTGTGCGACGTGGCCTCCGATGGACTAGCGTGGTACATCACAGTCAGCAATTGCTTCCGCAGTGCTATGGGATGTGTGCGCTGTTCATGTTCCTGTAAAGATTATTTTGAATTGTGGAGAGCCGCGGGACTGTACGCGCGAGCTGGTTCTGATATAATTCAAGTAATCGATACCCGAGGCATACAAAGACAATGTTGGATTGGCACCTGGGTGTTCCTGTCGCCTGCCCTGGAGGAGCTCCTCACTGATTGTTGGTAGGGTTTTTAAACGACGACCATTGCTTTTCTGATCTCAACGAGTTGACTACTTTAATGCTTCGTCTCCTTGTGCGCATGTTTTTCTTGTATGCGCAAGTGCCAAAAACTTTGAATTCGCATGGCTTTTGAATTTAAATAATGGAGTATATGTTAGAACTTGCATGAACACATGTTGAAGGCCAATATCACTGATCAACAGCCAAAAAATATCCTAAATAAAATCAACAAAATATTACTATTTTTAATGTGCTAAAACCGGAATGAAACTTATTTTTTCAATATTAGGTCATGTTTTAGATATACGGAAATTATATGTGTTCCTGCTGTGACAGTGTTAATATACTGTAATTCATTTTTTCCTCAGTTGGCTGACAGCGTTCATGCAAGATGTCTCGAAAGTTGTGAACAATCCAGATCAGTCTTGTTACGTGTGTGGTGATGTGACTTTTGCGTCTCAGAGACGGTCTATTACTCCACTAATAACAAAGGCATATCAGCTTTATTTCGGTTGTAAACTAAGTGATCAAGACAAACAGTGGGCACCCCACATCTGCTGTAATACATGTGCTTCAAGTCTGAGGAGCTGGTTAAATGGCAAAAAACGGTCTATGCGCTTTGCTGTCCCAATGGTTTGGAGAGAGCCTACAAATCATATTAATGATCATGGCGATCGAGTGATTCGTCAGGAAGAAGATATGCCATCAACGTCAAGAGATCCTGATTTCATACCGAGCACGTCATGCCACCAACCGCACAAAATAACACAGTCAGAATTAAATGATCTTGTAAGAGATTTAGAACTTCCAAAATGTAAGGCAGAGTTACTTGGATCAAGACTGCAGCAGTGGAACTTGTTAGAAGACGATGTTTGGTATGTGTTTTTCGTAAACGCCACAAAGACTTAGAACCATTTTTCAATATGGAGAATAACTTGGTTTTCTGCAGTAATATTAACGGCTTACTGGCGGCTTTAAATATAAACTATAACCCAGAAGAATGGAGATTGTTGTATTTTACCACCTCTTCCTGTAGGGTATGCAGTTCACATGAAAGAATCATATGACAATATGAAGTACCTATTGACATGCATAAAATACGATGAGCACCAATTGCATATTTGTGGCGATTTGAAAGTTGTTGCACTTTTACTTGGGCTGCAGCTAGGCTACACAAAGTTTTGCTGTTTTTTGTGTGAATGGGACAGTCGGGCAAAGGCACTTCATTACACCAGACAAAACTTTATTACCACCACTGCATATCAAGTTGGGCCTAATGAAAAACTTTGTCAAGGCATTAGATAGGGATGGGTCAGCTTTTCAATACCTGCGTCAGAAATTTCCAAGACTAAGTGAGGCAAAGGTTAAAGAAGGTATTTTTGTTGGGCCACAGATTCGAAATATTTTGAAAGATACACAGTTTGAAAACACTTTAAGGTATTGAAAAAACTGCTTGGAATGATTTCCGTCTGGTGGTCACTAATTTCTTGGGAAATAGAAAAGCTGACAACTATAAAACCCTTGTCAAAAATATGCTGTCATCGTATCAAAAGATGGGCTGTAATATGTCTCTTAAGATACATTTCCTAGACTCACACCTGGACTTTTTTCCTGACAATTGCGGAGCCCTAAGTGATGAGCACGGCGAACGTTTTCATCAGGATATTTGAACAATGGAAAAAAGGTACCAGGGAAAGTGGAATCCTTCCATGCTTGCAGACTACTGTTGAACTCTTGGTAGAGATGCTCCAGAAACGATCCATAAAAGAACAGCAAAAAGACAGCGCATATAGTGATTCTTATAAGTATATGAATCTTGTTACTTTTTTTTAATATATCCTTAAAAATAAAAAGTTTTTTTCTAAACCGCAACTAATTTTTTTATTTCATTGTCATTTTTGGATTCAGCGCCCCAAAATTAACAAAGAAGTGTACTTTTCCCACAACATATAATTAAAAAACTAAAATTTGTTGTCCAGTGATATCGTCATTCACA